TGGTTCAGGCAATCTCGAAGAACCAAGGCCACCCCAAGCAGCAACAGTGGCGGCCACGTGGCGGGAGATTCCGACAGACTCGTGCGGTCTCCGACCTCAGGAGTGACTGCTGGTAACCTCGTCGCAGGGCCACCGCACAGGGGAGAATCCAGCCGAGACCAGCGCGCGGTGGTGCGCCGGGCAGCCAGGCTTGGAGAAGAGCGCACCCGCAGGCCGGGCGTCTCAGGAAAGGACGGGCTCGGTCTGCATCCAGACCTGGGCTTTGTGGACCCGAATGTGGGTCCCGATTCTTCTCCCCTCCTCCCTCTCCTGGGAAGTCCTGGATGTCGACTTCCTGAAGTCCTCCAGGATCTCATCAGCACAGCGTCACGGGATCCAACCGCCTGCGTGGTGCAGGGCGCGTGGCAGGGGGAGGGCTGGAGACCAGCGCAGGGACTGCAGGTGGCATCGTCGCTCTGCGGTCACTGCTCGCTTCGTGGTTGTCATGAGAATTCTCCGTTTCTCCTCGTTCCCCTCGGCCCCTCGGCCCCTCTCACACACAGGCTCGGTCTCCCTGGCCGCCTTAGCAGAAACACTTTCCTCCTGGCTTTTTCTTTCTTTTTTAAATTTATTTGAAAGGCAGAGTTACACAGAGAGAGCGCGCGCGCGAGAGATTCCTCTGCTGATTCTCTCTCCAAATACCAGGAGCCAGGAGCGTCATCCGGGTCTCCCACATGGGTGCAGGGGCCCAAACACTTGGGCCATTCTCTGCTGCTTTCCCAGGCCACTAGCAGGGAGCTGGATCAGAAGTGGAGCAGCCGGGGCGTGAGCCGGTCGGGGCGCACATGGGAAGCTGACGCGGCGGGCGGCAGTTTAACCCCCGTCACGGTGCCGGCCCCCATTTCTCACCATTCTCTGGGCGACTCTCGCAGACTCACGCTGCACGTGCTCGGCCATCCGGACTTTCCCTGCAGACTGCACTATGTGCGCTCCTCTGCATGCTGGGTGGTAGCACTGGAAACACCACACCCTACACAGCGTCACTCGGAAGGACGTTGTAGCCAGCTAGGGTGCAGGAGGGCTGCCTCCCTGTGGGCGCCTGCTCTAACGGCTGCGAAGACCTCGCGCTGTGGTGTGACTGCCCGTTGGCCTAATTCTCCCGTAGACTTGTCTCTGGCAGCGAGGTCTTTTTACCACACGCACCCCAGGAAACTAACACAGAATCCAGCACAGGGGGCCGGCGCTGTGGCGCAGCGGGTTAGCGCCCCGGCCTGAAGCGCCGGCATCCCATATGAGTGCTGGTTCGAGGCCCGGCTGCTCCGCTTCCAATCCAGCTCTGCTATGGCCTGGGAAAGCAGTGGAAGATGGCCCAAGTCCTTGGGCCCCTGCACCTGCGCATGGGAGACCTGGAAGAAGCTCCAGACTCCTGGCTTCGGATTAGCACAGCTCTGGCCATTGTGGCCATCTGGGAAGTGAACCATTGGATGGAAGACCTCTCTCTCTCTCTCTCTCTCTCTCCCTCTCTTTCTTTCTCTCTCTCCGCCTCTCCTCTCTGTGTAACTCTGACTTTCAAATACATAAATAAAATCTAAAAAAAAAAAAAAAAAAAAAAAGAATCCAGCACAGTGAAATTCTCGGTGCTCTTTGGAGACTAAATGAAAGAAGAGCAGATGTGAACGTTTGTTTTGGCTTAGACAGATTTGCCCCGTAAGAACGGGGATGAGAAACTGAGCGACTGAACGGTCTCGCAGCTCCTGCACTCCAAGCTCAGCGTCCCGCTCCCCTGTGCTTTGCTGATAGAAAGTTGGCTCTCCTCAAGCACACACAGACGTGACTTTCAGCTTCCTTCTTTGGCTGAGAACCTTCTGGAACAGGCAGGCCACTGCTGCCACCATCCTGGAACCAGCACTCCTGCACTGCTAAAAACAGAGACCACAATGTCCTCCTGGGCGGAGAACCGGTGACTGGGAGGAATGGAGTGGAAACCTTACAGCCGGCTGTGAGGGCGCAGGAGCAGGCGCGGGACGGAGACCCCGCTGGGCAGCGGGCAGCGGAGCCTGGGCCGCTCGCAGACTGCTGGGCTCTCCCGTCACTCAAAGGCGGGGGCTGGGCCACCCTCACAAGCAGACAGAAGCTGTCTCAGCAGCTGGCTCTTGGCCGTGTCACACGCCTGGTCACCTGGCTTGGGGCACTGGGCTGTGCAGCTCTCCCGCTGAGGCTGCTCTCCTGGGCTGGGGGTGAGGCCCTCGTCCACGCTGTGCACCGTCAGGGCAGAGCCTCCTGCTGCAGGGCCCCCTGGCGCCAGGCGCGGCTGGTGCGCTGTGCACGCTGGCCAAGGGAACTGGGACACAACCGGCCTTGTGGCCCTTTCCTCAGACTCCCGCGTCCCTCTCATGCAGCCTAGCGCACTCCAGGAGGAAGACACCGCTGGAATTTACACGCTCTGGCGAGACGGAGACCACGGGGCTTTCCCTGTTCACCCGTCTGATTTTTACTTCTGGTTCTCCTGTCCTGGTTTTTTTGTTTGTTTGTTTGTTTGTTTTTGACAGGCACAGTTAGAGAGAAAGGTCTTCCTTCCATTGGTTCACCCCCCAAATGGCCGCCATGGCCGAGCTGCCCCAATCTGAAGCCAGGAGCCAGGTGCTTCTCCTGGTCTCCCATGGGGTGCAGGGCCCAAGCACTTGGGCCATCCTCCACTGCACTCCCGGGCCACAGCAGAGAGCTGGCCTGGAAGAGGAGCAACCGGGAAAGAATCTGGCGCCCCGACCAGGACTAGAACCCGGGGTGTCGGCATCGCGGGTGGAGGATTAGCCTAGTGAGTTGTGGTGCCGGCCTGTCCTGTTTTCTTTTTCTTTTCTTTTTTCTCTCTCTCTTTTTTTTTTTTTTTTTTTTTTTGACAGGCAGAGTGGATAGTGAGAGATAGAGAGAGAGACAGAGAGAAAGGTCTTCCTTTTGCCGTTGGTTCACCCTCCAATGGCCACCGTGGCTGGCGCACCACGCTGACCCGAAGCCAGAAGCCAGGTGCTTCTCCTGGTCTCCCATGGGGTGCAGGGCCCAAGCACTTGGACCATCCTCCACTGCCTTCCCGGGCCACAGCAGAGAGCTGGCCTGGAAGAGGGGCAACCGGGACAGAATCCGGCGCTCCAACCGGGACTAGAACCCGGGGTGCTGGCACCGCGGGTGGAGGATTAGCCTAGTGAGCCGCGGCGCCGGCCTGTCCTGTTTTCTAATAGCTGATGGCCTCTCTTCCCTCGTCCATCCTTTCCTGCGTTTCTACTGCCATGTAACGAAAGGGTTAACTGCTCCTAACCCCAAATGAGAAAATCACAAAGTTCAGTGAAAATACTCTTGTCCTTGAAGACGTTTTCTCCGAGCTGGAGTCTGGGACTTGGAGGTGGTTTAACTGACGGCTTTCTCTAACCTGAGTGCTCTCACCTGGCCGCCTGAGCGGCTCCCATGCAGTTTTGACTCCCGCTTCATGAAGTGGGAGCGCGGGTTTCAGTCACCCAGGTCTGCTGACTGCCGTAAAGTTATGCTCTGTCCTTTCCCTAGAGATTCGCCGCCCTGGCGCCGCGGCAGTGCTGTGTCACGTTCGGTAAGGAAGAAACCCAAGTTTCCGGGAGCTTAAGTCCTCCCCATGAAGCCACTGTGCCACGCGGCACTGAAGGCAGGGGAGCCGGGGTTGTGGCACTGTGGGCTGAGCCACTGCTCGCAAGCCACGGCCCACACAGGAGTGCCGGTTCCAGCCTGGGCGCCTCCGACTCTGATCCGACGAGCCGGGAAGGCATCGGGAGACGGCCCCCGCACCCAGGCAGGAGGCCTCTGACGGGGCTCCCGGCTCCTGGCGTCAGACTGGCCCACCCTGGCTGCTGCCGCCGCCTGGGGAGTGAACCAGCAGGCGGCCGGTCTCTGTCGCTGTCACACTGCCTTTCAGATAAATGAATGTTTTTTTGAAACCAGATGGGGTAAAGGACATGAAGTGGATTCTCTTGGCTCAGACGTTAGGTGAGGATACTTCAGGGGTCTGTGGAGAGCAAAATTAAGCCCTAAGTTTTCCTTGGTGAACTCCACGCATTTCCATGACATGAAGTGGCTGACAGCTATCCCAGAATGACGTCTGCGCTACAGCCACTGGATCAGGGCATCGGAGACGGGACTGGGACGTCCAAGTCCCAAGGTTTCGGTTCTATTTCAACAATAACTATTTCAAAGTTTAAGCCGTGTAGGTGCCCTACGTATAGCATGAGGGGGATAATGGGTTAAGCAGAATGAGAATCCAGCGAATGATTTTTAGAGCCCCATTGACTTGCAAGTTGAAGATGAGCATTGGGGTTAAGCCACCCTCTGCCGTGCCCGGGTCCCCTATGGGGCCCGGTTCGAGTCCCGGCTGCTCCACTTCCCACGCAGCTCCCTGCTGATGGCCCAAGTCCTCGGGCCACTGACGGGGGAGCCGCATGGGGCTGCCGGCCGTGGGGAGCGAACCGCCGGACGGAAGGGCCGTCTGCGTCGCTCTCTAGCGGATCCTAGAATCGGCGCCACCGCGGCCGCTCTTCCCCCGGCTGAGGCGACCGCACCCCCGGTGCTGACCGCCGCGCGCGCTGCCCTGGCCGGCGACCCCTGTCCGCGCGACACGGAGCCCCGGGAACACCTCGGGACGTCCCCGGAGAGCACCCGGCGCCGACCCCGCCCTCACACCCGGACACAGACCGCGCGCGGCGGGCGAGCGCTCCCCGAGCGGCCGGCCCTGCCGGGGACCCCGGGCCCCGGCCCCGGCCGCGGCGGCAGGCGGGGAGAGGGCGCGGCCGGCGCCCGCCTTCCGCCCCGGGGAGGGGCACCCCGGTTACTATGACAACACAACCGCAGCCTCCGTTGCCACGGCAGCTGCCTCTCCAATCCCATTGGCCTCCGTCCGCCTCCCCCGGCAAGGCGGGGCCTCGGCGTCGGGGCCGCGGGCGGAACTGTCGGAGGGAAGGGCGGCGTTTCCGGTGGGGCGGCGACGGCAGCGGGAAAGGAAGTGGGGGCGGGGGGAGCGGGCCGGCGGCGGAAGACTTTGAGTGTGACTCCGGCTGCCCCGGGCTTGATGCTCCCGCGGAGGCTGCGGCTGCCCTCTCGCGCGGGAGGACCGGGAGCGGGCTGGCCGGAGCCCGCCAGGCGCCGCCAGCAGGCCGCTCGCAGCCGCACGGCCGGCACCCAGCGCGCTGACCCCGGCGGGGAGCGCCCCGCGGAGACGGAAGTCGCCCCGAGGGAGCGGCGCGGCTGAAGTCTCGCGAGACGCGCCACTTCCTCCTCCGCGGCTCCCGGGTCGGAGCGTCCCTGCGCCCCACGGGCCGGAGCCGCAGCAGGAGCCGGAGCCGCGGGCCCGCCGCCCCTCGCCTCACGCCCCCGCCCCCGCCCCCGCCGAGCGAGGAGGAGCCGGAGAGGGGAAGATGGCGGCGGCCGGCAGCGCCCGCGGGGCCGCGCGGCCGCTGCGAGGAGCCTGAGGGACGCGGCGGCTTCGCGGGCGGACGCGGCGGCGGAGGATGAGCCTGCAGAGCGCGCAGTGTCTCCGGTGAGCCGGGGGAGGCTGGGGGCGTGCGCGAGCCGCGGGCGCCGCTCGGCCTCGGAGGAGCGGAGCCGGGAGCGGCGGGCTCGGCGCGGGCGGAAGTCGCGGGCCCGGGGCGCGCCGCCGCCGCCGCGCTGCGGGCCGGACTCGGCCGAAGTGGCGAGTTCCCGGGGCGGGGGCGCCGCACGTGTGCGCCGGGCCCTGTCGCCGGCCGCCCCGGGGAAGCCCCGAGCGCAGCCGCGGCGGCGGTGGGCGGCCGGCGAGCCCGCCGGCGCGTTCCCCCGAGCCGGGCATGTGCGGGGCGGGTGAAGTCCGCGGGGTGACCCGGGCGGGGCCGCGTCCGCGGCTCGTGAGTCCCGGCGTGCGAACCCGGCCCGGCGGATGGGGAGGCTGCCGGGCGCGCTCGGACGCGCTGGCCCGAGCGTGGCCGCCGCCTCGTGCGGGAGCGCAGGGCTCCGAGAGGGCCCCGCAGGGCCGCGCGCAGGCGCCGACCCGGGTGTGCGCCGCCGCCTTCCCTCCCGTGCTGCTGGGCTCGGCAGGGTGGCCGCTGGTGTCTGCGGACCGCACAGAATCACCCGCCTGGAAGTCAGCCTGCTGTGGACCTGGCGAATTTCAGGTCCGCCCGTGGCTGCCTGGGCAGGGCCGGTCCCCACGCCTGTGAGAAGGCCGGCGGGGCGGATGAGTGTGGATCAGGTGGCCCCGAGCGCTGGGAAGAGCAGTGAGGCGCGGGTGTAGACGGGGCTGGCCAGGCCAGGCCTGTTGGGTGAGGTGGTCCTGAGCCGGTGGAGGACCCGAGGTGAGCTGTTAGAAGGGGCCCACGTGGTCGTCGCCGAGTGCTAGGAAGACGACTCTTCGTGTGACCCAGCGGCGCTGATGGCGGTGGGGCCAGGAACTTCGGGCCGCGCCGATCGGGAAGGTGCTGGTCCTTCCAGTGGACAGGCCAGGGCGCTCCGAGAGGCCTGCGTGTGTCTTCCGCCTTGTAAGTCAGCGCGGGCCGCAGGACCTGGGCTTGGGTCGCGGGATGTTTCAGTAACCTCAGCTCGCACCCGGCCTTGGGCGGGCCTCAGGGAGAGGCGCTGGACGTGGGCGCCTGGACACCGTGGGAGGCCGGCTCCTCACCCCGCATCTGGACGGGGCGGGGTGGGCGAGGGTGTCCCAGGGCAGGACTTCCGGAACCAGGCCCCCTGCAGACTGGAAGGCCTTGCACACGCAGTGCTGGTCTTGGTCGAGGACCCAGGAGGACGCCGGCTGGGCAGAGTGAGTGTGGTTGGGGGTGCAGCTGCTGCTGGCTGTGACCTTGACTGGAGGGAGAGAGCTTTGCTACCTTTGTCCCTGGTGGAAGACCATGACTGGGCAGTTTCTGACCCGCAGAGCTACAGATCCTCCCTCGTGTGGAGGAGAAGTACTTTTGCCTCAGCTGAATTTTAATGGGGTAGAGTGAGCCAGCTGGGTGTGGGGGAACCGGGAGCAGGACGGCCGGCAATGAAGGTGTGCAGGGGGGCCTCAGCAAGACCAAGAAACAGAAGGAGTCGGGCACCGGGGGCTGGATTAGAACGGGAGCTGGAGTCGGGCACCGGGGGCTGGATTAGAACGGGAGCTGGAGTCGGGCACCGGGGGCTGGATTAGAACGGGAGCTGGAGTCGGGCACCGGGGGCTGGATTAGAACGGGAGCTGGAGTCGGGCACCGGGGCTGGATTAGAACGGGAGCTGGAGTCGGGCACCGGGGGCTGGATTAGAACGGGAGCTGGAGTCGGGCACCGGGGGCTGGATTAGAACGGGAGCTGGAGTCGGGCACCGGGGGCTGGATTAGAACGGGAGCTGGAGTCGGGCACCGGGGGCTGGATTAGAACGGGAGCTGGAGTCGGGCACCGGGGGCTGGATTAGAACGGGAGCTGGAGTCGGGCACGGGGGCTGGATTAGAACGGGAGCTGGAGTCGGGCACCGGGGGCTGGATTAGAACGGGAGTTGAGACAGGAGGAGGGAGCCTGTCTCTGTGCAGGAAAGAAGGGCCGTGTTCTGGGCAAATCAGAGTATTTTCTCTGGATTGATGACAAAATGAACACCTAAAGATTGACCGCTCCGTGGAGTAAACTGAGTTCACGTGGTGGGGGTGGGGGTGGGAGGAGGAAGTTAGGCCATAGGTGACGTAGCCGGTGAGGTGTTGTCACGCTTTAGAAGAGCAGAAACGTGGAAATCGGTGTAACAGAACCAGACGAGCAAGGAGGTGGTCGCACTGCAGGGACAGAGGTCAGATGCGGTAGCCGTGGGGAACGCCCGTGACCTGGCGGGTCCGCTGCAGACGGGGTGCCACGGCCTCCTTGCGCGGGTGTCTCCTGGAGGTGCTCTCGGGGCTCCTCAGACCCCTTTACCCCTCGGCTGGGGCGGCGGATTCCAGTGCACACTCTGTCAGAAACTCTAGGTGGAAATAATACACTGTCCACAGGGTTGTTTACTGAAACAGCAGAAAAATGGTTGCCATTTAAATAAGAATCCAAATTGCCATCTACCTGGTAAGATAAACTGAGTCTGTAAATCTTGGAGTGGACAGACAGGATGGCTGGATTAAGTAGCGAGCTGAACCTCACCCTGACCTGGGGAAGAGGAGCAGGGAAGGCGGTGGGCGGAATTGATAGTGAAGTAGAGTAGGCCCGGGTTCTAGAAGAATCCAGTAATGCTGTCCCCCAAGCCTCAGGCTGGTTCTGATACGCTTGGCCCTGCCCCCACACGCACATGCTCTGCAGGGTGTGAAGTAGAAAAGCAGCCACACTTGACAGCTCGCACAAACACGGCGCGGTTACTTGACGTGAGTGATGGTCTCCAAGTCTGTTACAGTGATGGCGCGCGTGGCACCTGCGTGGCACCTGCGTGGCTGCTCGCGGGGCAGTGAATTCTCACTTCCTCTGGATTCCCCTGGACTCCGCTCCATCCCGCTGCTCTCTGACAGTGCTGCCTTTACCTCTGTGGCTAAGGGAGCTGGCTTTGCTGCTGTTCTGAGGGATGTGTGACTGGGTCTGGACCCGCGGGCACAGCAGGTTTCTCACAGGGCGGTGTGAGGGCGCGGAGTGGTTCAGACGAGAGAGCTGCTGGTTTTACACTGGGAAACGATGGAGTGGCGTCTCCAGCCGTGTCCAGCTGTGTCCAGCAGCCTTCAGATTTCCTGTCAGTGGCATGAATGGCTGCCTGAAAGTGGAGATGGGGGCGTCTGGCTGGCTGAGCTTTCCCGGGGGTGAATTATTTAGGAGTGTCCTGTGGGTAGGGCTGTCCCTCTGCTGTAGGTGCGTGGCAGATGGTCATCACGTACAGCCTTCGCTTTGCGCTGTAATTTAGTTGCTGTGTTGTTAGTAGATCGTAGCTCAGCAGGACGGAGCGGCAGTCCCCGGTCATGAGCACCTGTGCCGGCCTCTCTGTGGGTGGTGCGTCAGCCGCGTTCTGGGAAGGCGGCTCGGTTTCTCCCGTAGGTCCCTGTTTAGTCAGTGGGGAGAGGAAGTGACTCCTGGTGGTTTAAGGAAGGTTTGGAGTCTGAAGTAGACTGATTGGCAGCTCTGGGTTTTTTCTTGTCTGCGTCATTCACACCAAGTCTCTCAACCTTGGCACATGTTGACACCTGAGGCCAGATAAATCTGCGCTGTGTGCGGCTGTCCTGAGCGTCGTCACGTGGGTAGCAGCGTCCCTGCTCTGCAGTAGGTGGTGGTCTCCTTCCCCACCTGTGACCACCCAGAGGTCTCTAACACGTGGCCAGGTGTTCCGTGGGGTGCGCTTTCACGCTCAGCTGAGGGCCACTGTGTGGGAAGTGAGTGCGTATAGGAAGGGCACTGTGTACAGAAGACGTGCACTTTCTTGTCTTTGCTCTCAGCCACAGGTTTTTCCTTATCAGTTTTCTCTTAGCAATAGACTAGTTATGTTCAGACTGACTGTTTTAAATCTGTTTTTCTGGCAGCTGTTGAATACTTTGCGTAGGGCACAATTACAGGGACTTTGCCTGTCGGAGGACACCAGTGGGTAAGCTGGTGAGTTGTGTAATCGAGAGGCAGAGGCACTGGGTCAGTGAGGAGTGGACGTTTGTCCCAGCACAGGTGGGCTGCTGAGGAAGGCACATTTGATCTGGGGACTGACAGATGGGCGGGATTTTGAAAATGGATATTGGGCACATTGGCATTCTCGGCAGCAGGCGTATCTCATAGCACCTTTATTCCAAATAAACGTTTCAAAATTTCATTCTCGTTCATTTAGTGCCTGACATGAGTGTTATGACCAGGCCTTTCTGAGATCTCTGTGGGTGAGCCAGGTTCCGGAGACCCCCTGTCGGCCTGGAGAGGGAGAAGCGACAGTCCTGGGAGCCTTTGCTTTGTGCTCTGATGGACCTTATCTCACTGTCCTTTTAGTCTTTACTTTTTGTCTTTTTAAATGTTATTTATTTGAAAGGCGGAGAGAAAGACATCTCCCATCCTCTGGGTTCCTCTTCAAGCGTCCACAGCAGCCAGAGTCAAACTAGGGTGAGGCTGGGAGGCAGGCACTTGGTCTGGGCCCCCACGTGGGTGGTAGGCACCAGGCACCTGGGTTCTGCATCAGCAGGAGGCTGGCGTGGAGCCAGGCTGCAGCCAGGTGCTGCAGTGTGGGTGTGGGCACGTGTCTGCTCCTCCCTGGGCTTGTGAGCCACCTTGTTTACCAGCAGGCTTCTCTGCGACCCAGGCTGACTTGTAAGAATTCATTCCCTATCAGGATTTTTCCCTTTTTAAAAAAATATTTATTTTATTTGTTTGAAAGAGTGACATGGAGAGGGTGAGACAGAGATCTCTCCAAATGGCTGCAGCGTCCAGGGCTGGGCCAGGCTGAAGCCAGAAGCCTGGAGCTCCGTCTCAGTCTCGCATGGGAGTAGCAGGGGCCCGGGTGTTCAGGCCGTCTGCTGCTGCTTTGCCAGGCACAGGAGCAGGGAGCTGGTCACACGTGGAGCATCCAGGACTGGAACCAGCACTCTTCCGGGATGCTGCAGGCAGCAGCTTAGCCCA